AGCCAGCTGCTAAAGAGCTGCAGCTGACAGCCCGCAGAAGCCGCCGCCCACTGCCACGTCCCGCGGCGATGGATCGGGCTTCATTTCGATGGAATTTGATCTTTTTTAGGCTCCTTTGTTTGCGTGGTGTGAGAAAGATGATCAGAGTGACATATAGTGTGAGGCCGTTCAGTAATGACGCTGAAACGATCTTTGATTGTTATCTCTGATGTTTGCTTTTGCTAAATAGTAACAACATCGTGACTTTTTTCTCTACTCTGTTGAAGTTTCTTGGAAATTTCGACTGCCAGCCCTGTCAAAAGTGGTGACATTTTATCTGTTCGAAAGTTTCCACTGCCCTGACTCGAGCTGCTGCATCCATTCAGTGTCGACGATCCCGCACTGTCGCCTTGGCCGCTATGGCGAGACCCTCTGACGAGAGACGCCCAGTTCTCAGCGGCTGGAAGTTGACAGAATCCTCCGGTCAGTGATGTGGTCGGCGACACATTTCGAGAGAAACACTTGCTTGGAATAGTCTGCTTCCAAGTCTTGTAGGGATGGAAAATAGTCGCGCATCAGTTCAATCAACGACTCGCATACAGTTTGCCAGAGCTGTTAAATTGCAATTAGCATACGTTTTAGAAAACAATGCATCAGAGAGAGCCGCCGCGCTGTGGAGCTGCTGAAGTCCAGGAACGTGTGAAAAATGCAGGAAGGGACGACCGCATGGAAGCGGGAACCCATAAACGTTCCGTGTGGTGACGACCTACTCACCAGCACAACTTCAGCGTGCCGTGCAGCTCAGAGCTCGGCTCATCTTTCCGCTGTAACATATCGAAATTGACAGCCGAGGCGAGAATCTGACCAGAGTGGTCTCGCTCGTTTCTGCAGTTCCTGGTTCAGGGTGGCCCTTGGTCACTGGTCAGTGGCGGTGTTTGACGTCAAACTGGAATGAAATGCAGGCTATGGTAGTGACGAAAAGTTAGACTTGACCGCGCTTGAACCATTATAAACTCTTTTCACATTTGTTTTTCAAAAATGAATGTGTTTTTGAATTTTTACGCTTATGAAGGTTCAAAGTTCACACTTCACAGTGCCTTACCTTTACTATATACGAATTGGGGGCTCAGTTTACCCGCAGGCGAAAAGTATACCTAACCTGCCTCTACAGCTGAAAGGATGTCTACCATCGGGATACGGCTCAGTCAGAAATTCAACAGAGACCACAGACCGTTACCGGTTATTGCTCACCTCACGAGCTGCAATCTGCCGTGGAGCGGACCTGCTCCGCTGTCTGGTGTGTTTATTGGCGTTAATAACGTGACGTTTACCGCCGGATATTGTGGACGATGGCGGCCGAGACTGGGCCTGGGTGCCGACCTGAATAATTTAGCGGCGGCTTCCGCCGCGGTCGGCGCCGCCTGTCGCCGGGCTCGCATCAACCCAGATCAATAGGGCGGCCACCGATGGCGATAAACATACCACCGCCGGTATCGCTGCCATTGAAAAACGGAAACGCTCGCCTTTCATCCAGTTCTGCCTCCGGCGTTCGGTCTTTAGAACGTTTCTGCTCACGATCGGCTGTTTTTGCTCGAGACCCGCTTTGGAAGAGAAATGCTGCTCGGGACGGCTGCGATTGCTCCTCGTTGGATGACTCAGTGGCGGCGGAAGCAGGGGGGCAAGGGGGGCAGCTGCACCCTAAAGCTATGGAAAGGGGCGCCTCGAAAATCTGTAGAGGAGGCAGGAAGTTATAAGAGGTGCGGCGGCCATAAAGCTGAGCAGTGCGACACCGCAACTGATAAAGGCACTTGTGACACGAAGAGGGTGGCAATGACTTGGGAAAAGTATCTTTTGATATGCTGAAGAGTGGAGGGCATCCTTATCTGAAACAAAGGCAGATGCTGCCGACCCTGTCGAATATAATCTTGCCAGGCGATAAAGGCTAGGAGGGCGCAGCCACTCGAGAAGCGCGCCATGCGGAAGAGGGGCGCCTGCATGCGAAAGAGGGGCGCCTGTGTGTGGGACGAAAAAGAAACATGTATGGAGACGTCTTTGAAGGCGATAGCCTCCGAACGCCAACACGAACATATGAGGGCTTATAGCGTTGCAGGCTCCATGCGACAAAAAGGGGCGCCTGATGGCCGATATGCGAGAGGAAATTAGTTTGTGTAACATTTATCGGGGGCGGTTTGCCGTTTACAAAATATGAATGTTAAGGGAGGTCCGAGATTGGGACCTGTAAAATTGCACTGTCCGTATGGGCGGTTACACCCCTAGTGCTAGGGCGTATTTTGCGTTTTTTACTGGGGAGATGATTATGACCAGGAATAGCATTCTGCAAACTTCTATGGGCGCCTGTATAGGGGCGAAACTGATTTTCCAGTGCAGAGACGGCCATCGGCATTGTGGGGCGGCATTCATTCCACTGGGGCGTCTGCCAGTGTTGAAGGGCGGTATTCATTTCAATGGGGCGCCCGTTGGTGTTGATTGGCGACATGTATCACCTGGGGCGCCTATCGGAGATTGGGGCGGCATTAATTTCACTGAACCGTGGAACTCTTTTCGATATGCCTTATTCGGAGAATCTTATGATATGGTGATGAGGTTGTTTCTAAACGAACATTATGAAGGTTACATTTACGCTATGGAATGTACCTAACTATTTCTCGTTACATAAAAACTGTAATTCTGAACGTATTAACAGGTACAACACATTGTCAAACGTCTCTCCACTGTTTGTGTTACTACAACCGTGTATATGGTAAGGGGCGCCCAGCGGGAAGGGGCGCTTCAATATCGTTTGCACCCCTATCCTAGAATACCTTCCGCCGCCACTGTTGGATGTTGATTGAAAATTAGCGTGGTGGATTGCAGTTTTTGCATCGTTAAACACAGCAAGAAGTGCACAGTTCGGAAACATCATTGAGCTATGTGTGCCGACTCAGAACTCAGAGTAAAAAAAGAAAAATGTTTTCTGGGTTTGCCTGATAAATAAATTAACCCTAGAACGCCTAGGGGGGGGGGGTTGTATCAACCCCCCCCCCCTGAGGTTTTTTTTCAAAGTGCACGCTAAACGGCTTGTCGTAGCGGGCTGAAATTTTCAATACCCTCTGGGGCAACCTTTGCGCATCTTTTGCCGAAAAAAAATTGATCGGGTCATGTCAGGTCACGGAGTTATGACGTCATAAGAGGTACAGCCTCCGGCCGGATTTTCACAAACTGAGTGCCAACGCCCGAGGTTTCCTGCCGGTGGTACGGACATCGGTTGATGGATCATGATGAAACTTCCCATGCATGTTGGGGCAAGTATTGGCTATCATATGGTATAAGAAATTTGACCGGGTCAGGTCAGGTCACGGAGCTATGACGTCACAAGTGGAACAGCGTCCGGTACTATTTTTGAAAAGCGCCCGAACCACTATTTTGCTAATTCTTGTCACCTCAATGGGAATATGCAGCAATATTAGCTTCTATAGGGAGCAAATGGACCTCCCAAATCCAAAATACAATCAGATTTCAAAAATTTAAATTTTGATTTTTCGAATTTCTGCCGCCGACTGTGACCTTGCCGACTTCCGGCGCTCCCAACGCGCCATTTTTAGAGCTAGGGAAACGAAATACATACCAAACGATAGAGAATTGATCAAGGAACACGATAGTGAAGGTTTCAAGTCGATATCTCCCACCGTTTTGCCGCAATCGCCGGCAAAAGTTGAAAAAAGTCTATTTTTCCGAAAATTTGACCTTTGACCGGTCAAAAGTAGGTCAAATGTTGACCTAGGACCAAAAAATATACCACCAATCGCGAGATCTCGTTGAGAGCAATCCGTTGGTTTTTTTCCGCTAAGCTCTACGACCTTCCGTTTCGAAACGCCAGGGGGGGGTCGTAACAACCCCCCCCCCCCTGGTCGTTCGTGTTATGAGAAATGGCCTGGTCGTGCGAGGGTTAATTGCAGTGGAATTCTTAGATATTCCACTAGATATTTAGACATTCCACTTTTAGATATTCTACTCCGTGTAGGCATGCCATTTCAACTTTGGCATTGATTTCCATTCCGAAACTAAGTAGTTCAACGTTTATTGTGTTGGTAGCTGCTGGCTTGCAATCGATCAATGACAGTGTTACCCTAGTTGATAGGCGCTTGCATTTATTCGGCAACCATGGAGATAATCCTGCTGCTTTTTTTCAACACTCTCCAGTAATCGCTAAAAGCTAACGCTTTCTATGCGGCGGTGTTCTGCGGTACAGTCTACCTTCAGGCGCCGACTACTACTGCCATCTAGGAGCAGATGTAGGAAGCTGGATTCACTCGACTCGGCGCCGTGCGCTCCAGCTCTGCGCGGCGGGACCTGACTGATGACTCATTAACCACCTGTCACGATTCCACGCGCAATAAACGGCAGCTAATGACAGACCAAGTCACCTGCGCATAGCTTTGATTTCTAGAATTCTTATGCCAGTATATTAGCTACCTACATACAGGACATGTTGGAACCCGGGGGGCATACAAAGACCCAAAGCCACTTGGAACACCTAAGCAGACACCCATCCCTGTGGCCTGTACCGTACTGTATGCCTCCGGCCCGGGCAGGCTCGCTCGCTTCCTGCGCTCGCTGACGGGATACCGTCCCACTGAGGGCTGCGATCGCCGCCTGAGCGATGGCCGCCTCCCCGGAGTAGGAAATAAACGGTCGGCGTAGCGCGTACTGGGTGATGGATGGCGCCGCATTATGGGGCGGCGAGACGCCCGCGCGGGAGAGATAGGTCACCCGCGCTGGCGCCGAGCTGATCGGGCCTCAGCGGGTGGACGGAGAAAATGTCAGAGTTCTCAAACGTAATGTCAGTGGGAAAAGTGTCCCCGTCAATTTAATTACTACATTTTGGTGCTTTGTGATGCATTTTACAGCAAAACCCGTTTACGTCGTTGTTAGCATACTATGTTCTGCACTATATCCCAGCTGTTACACCCCCCCCCCCGGTTCGCGTGTTATGACCAACGCCTGTCGCCCTGTGCCCGCAGGCTATGGTCACGTGACTCCGCTGTCGGAGGGCGGGAAGATCTTCTGCGTGGTGTTTGCGCTGATCGGCATTCCACTGACGCTGGTCATCCTGTCGGCCTTCGTGGAGAAGCTGATGGTGCCCTCCACCATGTTCCTGCAGGTAGGTGTGACACGGGTGCGGTCACTTCTGCTGCTGCACTGGCTGCGGAGGGATGTGGAATAAAGGGGGGCAGGAGGAGCACAATAAGAGTTCAGTACCGTTGTCACAATGGTGCAGTTGACAGCTTCACATGTCCTATGCATAACACTTAAAGTTTTAATTTATCATATAAAGCGAATCCGCCACTCATTGAAGTTGAGAGTTGATTGTCAGGTACTATAGAGGTAATGATTGCGTCCTGTCAAACTTGGGACAATGATCAGTCTCATGGTGATTGGCATTCCTGATTTTAACGATTAAAGCCTAAAGTACTCGTATGTCACTGACTGATGGTTGACTGACTGACTGACTGACTGACTGACTGACTGACTGACTGACTGACTGACTGATTGGATATATGTGAAGAGCGATTAAAGCAATCAATACAAGTGACATTTATATTATTTTGTTTTGAGCAGTCGTCCCTCGTTTAGATTAAGCCCATTTGAATGTCACCCATGGGTCGCTTTTGAAGCTGTATCTCGTAGTTAACGGCTATGACACAATTTGCATGCAGTCAGATACCAGCTCGTTTCATGAGTTGGTGGCGGCGTCAGACTAGCTGACCTCTATCTTCCAAGGCAATTCGCCTAATGAATACAGAGCGGGACATCCCACGTCTTGGTGCAAATATACATAGTGAGGCATAATATCCTGGTTGTCCTCCAACGCGTTAATATGGACACTACTGAGCATCGAAATGCGAATAATAACATTAAGTATTCACCATTTATCTGTTTGTGGTTTTGAAACTGCTATATTTTTATAGTGCTGACTCTAAAACGTCTGTCGTTCTATTTTGATGAAAAAATAAATAAATAAAGTAGCTCGTCGTCGTTCTGTATACATAACTGCGGTACCCTCTTCTGATTGTGGGCTCTGGCCAGCTCAGGACGAGCCTTTCCCTTCCCATCGAGAGGGCTCTTATCACAGGTAAAGCCCCATAGCCCGCCGCCACGTCATTACCCACGCACACAAACACAGGGCAGATGTTGGCTGGGGTGGAGAGAGGACGGCAGAGTGTGAGTGAGTGAGTGAGTGAGTGAGTGAGTGAGTGAGTGAGTGAGTGAGTGAGTGAGTGAGTGAGTGATGTGAGTGAGTGAGTGAGTGATGAGTGAGTGAGTGAGTGAGTGAGTGAGTGAGTGAGTGGTCTCACGGCCAGACGGGGTGGAGTGAGCTTTCGTCGGGACGGCAGATCCGGCTTATAGATCATGCTGTGTGGCACTGCTGCAGGCAGTGCACACCGAACCACTTTGTATCATGTGCAGTGCACCCTGAGCCATTTCTATCCACATCATCCGATGGCCGGCGGCCGGCCGACCTACGCAATACCGTCTGGGTCGGATCCGGCTCACGCACCGTGGTAACGCTCCCGTCATATAAAAACGGCTGGCTGATATCGCAATGCACATTGACATATCATTTACTTCAGGTAATGAAAAGTGCCGTGTATAGGCTATTTAAGGTACTGTAATGTGATGGAAACAATAACGTAATGTATCATCCTTATTCTTATGAAAAGCGCATGACGCACCAAACATATCAGGTCTAGACACATCTGTGGATTTTTTTTTTTGCGCCTGCCGCAAGAGGAAGTCCTAGAAGTTTTAGATACCGTAGTGGTCTCTATCTCCGATAGAGAAAGCAATATTAGAATAACTCGCCCCTCATCTACCCCGCCTGCCGAGTTAGGCTCGCCCAGCAACAAGCTTGCTTAGCTGGGTGGCCTATTTCGGTGGGCACTTGACCATGCTGAAACCTGACCAGGAACCGACACCGACCTTTTGATCTGCATGCTACCGGCTTATACCCATGTCCTTGTGTGATTGTTCCAACTCCCTGTACGAATGTGTAACTAACCAAGGTATGAATTTTAGGTACTGAAGAAAAAAAAACAAAAAAACGTAGTGTCTAGTCAAAGCTATTTTTAGCTTTGATTTCTTTCCGCCCCTTGTATGCATGACTCATAACACTACTTGCATCTGTATTTGGCTGCACAGGTTTTTTTCGCTTCTTTTTTTGTTATTTTCCTTTTCTTAGCAGGGATGTCACGACTTGCATATTTTTGTTTTTGGTGTTAACGTATGGTTCTGTGGTCGTGCGGGACCGTGGGTGGACACTCCTGGTCGTCTGTTCATGGGCGGCGGACTATTTTGTAGATTAGTTAGTGCATGAAAAAAAAAATCATTACATGATAGCTCAGCTCTGCTAAATCCGTGCTAATGCCTGGGCTAACTAAAAGACCATGATTTTTCCATCCTAACCCGTAGAATCAGTCTCGCACCCTGTATAAGATACTCCTGATGCGCCTGATTGCCTCATTTCAGACCGGCTGATTGCCGTCATTCAGCCTGCCGCTCGGTATCTATTCCCGGCCGCGGTACTCGCTCGTGCCGGTCCCCCGTCCCCCGCTGTCACTGGACCGCCCCCTTCCACCACTCGTCGTGTCAGTGTCCCGCCGGGCTGCGCTCGTTCTGCTCCACTCAGCGGCTCCAAAAGGGCCGCGGATGGTCCCCGCTACACTGGCCAACACCATTTACGGCCGACGCTTAGACACAGGATTGGCAATTACCGGTATAAACGTGACCGCGGCGCGGCGGGTGGCGGGATGGAGCGGCTCTTTACGGCTGGCCTGATGGCCGGGGCCTGTTTGGGTGGGTAGGCCACTCAGAGAGCGGCTCCTCCGCCTCCTCCGCCTCCGTGGCCGGCTCGGTATTCTCTTCTCTGCTGTATAACCCGTCCACAGTTCTGTGGTCTGTTGACTTTTGTTGACTTGATGATGCATCTTTGGAGCGCGTCGTAAATGTGTGGGCAACAGCTCTACAATTGGTGCTATCTCAACATTCTACCCACCTCAAAATAATATGGCTTTATTTTCCATTCTCACTACATAGAGCCTCATATATGAGTACTGACCATGCGTGTGCCAGTGGAGTATCTGTAATGGCCTCAGGTCAGCGCCTAGCCGACCGTCTAACCGGATTGAGGCCGAGTAATTGGCTAGCCACAGCTGCGTGATCTGCTGTCGGCCCAGTCGCGCTCCGGTTAACCGCGACTGCCAATACTCTCCTCCGCTGAACTGTGAGGGTGTAACGGTCCCAAGTACAGCGCCGTCAGCACCGCCTACCACTCCTCCTTCTGCACGTTAACATCATCCCGCCTGGCTCTCATTTAACTGAACAATGTCCCTCGCTTATTCTCAGAGATGCTGTGGAAATTGGGCGATGTTCAGATACCTTCCGAGATCAGACGCTGTTCAGATTCGTTCTCGAACTCTGGTGGCTCCTGGCACTCCTCCCGAGGGTGACGAGTGCTCAGAACAGGTCCCGAGTGGTGAGACACTCAACGAATCAATTCTTTCCTCAAATGCGGGTGGTATGTTAGTACGTTCTCTGAGGTCGAAACCACTCTGGCTTCTCCATGAATCGGCCACCGCTGAGAGGTTGGGTCTGCCACCATGGTCCGTCACCGGCAGGCGATGTCCAGCCCCCATCAGACGTCGCCCGGCGATATGCAGCCCTCCCGCAGACGTCGGGCGATGTTCAACCCTCCCGCAGACGTTGGGCGATGTTCAACCCTCCCGCAGACGTTGGGCGATGTTCAGCCCTCCCGCAGACGCCCGGCGATGTTCGCCCCTCCCACAGACGTCGGGCGATGTTCAGCCCTTCCGCAGACGTCGGCCACCGATCCGGGCGATGTTCGGCCCTCCCCAGAGGTGGGCTGCTGCTCTGGGCGATGTCCAGCCTCCCTGAGGTCTACCGCCACTCGGTGCCGCCGGCGGGGAGGGCGGGTCCGCCCGGGGCGCCGTCCTCCCGCCGGACGATGTTCAGTCCACCCCCGGCGGAGGGCGGGTCCGCCCGGGCGCCATCCACCCCCGGCGGGGAGGGCGGGTCCGTCTCGGGGCACCGTCCACCCCCAGCGGGGGGGCGGGTCCGTCCCGGCGCGCCGTCCTCCCACCGCTCCGGCCGGCGGGCGGGCGGGACTGAGCCGATCGATGCGGCTCTGCCTGTTGGGCGGCGGCCCGGCTCCGTCCGCCCGCCCGCCGGCAGGGTCTGGGCCGGCCGGGGTGACGGCGACCACTGCCGTCCCGGCTGGCTGGCTGGCGCCTCTCCAGCGCTGGCAGCCGCCCGAAACCCGGCCTGTTGCTCGCCCTGTTGGCGCTCCATGTCAGCCCCGCCGACCGTGACAATGAACATGACTGGTCACGGCAGCCCAGGTCGATGTCAGGATCGATTAGCGGCGTCATGAAAAAGATTTATCGGTGGATTAACGCTCTGTAAAATACAGCGCTACAAACAAAACATTTGTGGGAATATTCATTTTTAGTTTTTTTATAACGTTTGACGGAAAGAGAAGGCAGAGAAAATGACGCAGACGAATTCCCGGAAGAGGAAATAAATCTCCATACTAACTTTATTCTAAATTCATTGTCTAAATCTATTGCGGCATGCATTTCACTGTCTACAATTTTTCGCCAATAACTTCTGCATAACTTTTCCAATTTCCCTCATATAGTGTCGTTTTGCCGTACCGCAGTCTTGAATTTCTCGGCGTTCTTATCAGCTGCCTATACGAGTAGGCGACTCCATTGAATGATGAGCACTGGTTTCCAATCTGCTCAGTGGCGCCGGTCATCTCTGAGCCCGCAGAGTCTGTGGAATTCTGTACGGCTCCAGAGACTATCATGTCTCCCAGGCCTCAGAGAAGCCGTCCTTGTTAGCGCTGCAAATCTGGTCAGATTCCTTCTCTCAGCTATGGTTCTCGGAGACAGAGGCTAGAGCTTCGCGGAACGAGCTAGCGCTGCTGGATGAGTCTGGCTAGGCTACCACTAGAGTCATCCAGCCAGTCAGCTACTTGGCATCTAGTCAGGCGATAGCCAGCCAATCGTTCAGCCATTCAACTACGTCACTCAGTCAGTCGGCCTGTCAGCGTGCGAGCACACTGTGCCTGTCACCTTTCAGCCAGCTAGCCATTCAGCTTGTCAGACTGTCGGCCTTTCAGCGAGCCAGCGAGCCAGCCTTCCAGCTCGAGCTGCCTTCTCAGCTCGGCTAGGCTGCTTCGTTTACCCACCAACACGATTACACGTAATTCAATCACTTTTGTGGTCTAGACGGAGGGCGTTCCGACCCGAATTCGCTTACCCTTTCAGCGGAACGGCTCATAACGTGCCCGGCAAACACGTGCTGCAGTGTAAATCTAAGGCAGTGGGGAAACATCAAACAGGCAGGCAGGCGCCCACGGTTCCTTGTTGGCCGCCAACCTTTTTAACATCAAAGGGGTGCGTGTTTTATGCAGTCCTTCCGGCAGTCTGAAAAATATGATTATGGAATAAATTAATTGGATTAAATTAAATAAAATGCTAAGAAAATAACTATGTCATATAAACCATTTTAAGCAGAAAATGATAGGCATTAGAAGTGAATAATGTTATGATCTGACATCGTTAGCTCGAGTTGCGAAAGCAAACAGAAGAGGTCTTAGATCAATGAGAATGCCAACACATATTATGTTGGGTTTAGTTTGTATTACTGCTCTGACAGACATATTTTCTCGAAGGTTTCTAGTCGCCATTTGTCGCACTTCTGATCCAGTACTGGAACCCGGATTACCAGCTTATTAGTAATGGCTATAATCGTAATGCATAGTCAAGGTAAGCCTGTAAAGACGATTAAAGCGTGACAATAACATGACAAACATCAATTACACATTTTCATTCCTTCCCGTTTTGCTTTGAGCTTCATTCACGATACTCAAAGCTTTGACTGATGTTTCAGAAATACATGTTAAAGCTTTATAGAGGCTCACACTTTTTCCGCCGAGATGATCTCTCGTAATGCCCACTCCATTCCTAAGTGGCCTTTCTAGTCCGTATCTCTCAGGACCTTTTAATTGGGCACAATACTGCAGCATTGATATTCTAGTTCTGTGTCGATATCGTCTATTGTTGCCCCCGCTGACCCCGTTTCCCGCTCTCTCTCCCGACAGTAGCTGAACTCTCGGCTGATCACCTGTACCAGCCGCTACTCATATACTCTCATTTACTCCCGGCAGTGGCTCAACTCTCGGCTGGTCACCTCTACCAGCCGTTACTCATGTGCTCCCATTTACTGCCGGCAGTAGCTGAACTCTCGGCTGGGCCACCTCTACCAGCCGTTACTCATGTGCTCCCATTTACTCCCGACAGTAGCTGAACTCTCGGCTGGGCCACCTGCACCAGCCGTTACTCATATACTCCCATTCACTCCCGACAGTAGCTGAACTCTCGGCTGATCACCTGTACCAGCCGTTACTCATATACTCCCATTCACTCCCGACAGTAGCTGAACTCTCGGCTGATCACCTGTACCAGCCGTTACTCATGTGCTCCCATTTACTCCCGGCAGTGGCTGAACTCTCGGCTGGGCCACCTGTACCAGCCGTTACTCATGTGCCCCCATTTACTGCCGGCAGTGGCTGAACTCTCGGCTGGGCCACCTGTACCAGCCGTTACTCATGTACTCCCATTTACTCCCGGCAGTGGCTGAACTCTCGGCTGGTCACCTGCACCAGCCGTTACTCATGTGCTCCCATTTACTCCCTGCAGTGGCTCAACTCGCGGCTGGTCACCTGTACCAGCCGTTACTCATGTACTCTCCTTTACTCCCGGCAGTGGCTGAACTCGCGGCTTGGCCACCTGTACCAGCCGTTCAACATCCGCCTGTTCCACCTGGCGGCCGTGGTGGTGCTGATCGCCTGCCTGTTCTTCCTGGTTCCGGCGGCCATCTTCAATCGCCTGGAACCGGGCTGGTCGTTCCTGGACTCGCTCTACTACTGCTTCATCTCCCTGACCACGGTGGGCCTGGGCGACTACGTGCCGGGCGACCGGCCCGGCCAGCAGTACCGGCCGCTCTACAAGGTGGCCATCACAGGTGAGAGGCGCCCTCGGCCCGGCCAAAGACACCAGCGCCAAGGGACCTTACAAGGCGGATACTGGAACCCCAGGGGTCGGGGTTCATGGCGCCCGGCCCGTCCACTGATTCTGGGAACCCTAGGGGAGCAACGCCCTTTCATAATTTCACATTGGTGTTGGTTTTCTGATAATGTGACGTTGTGACGTGCTCCGAGTTACCTGCTGGTCTGCCTGGTGATGATGTGACGGTGTTCATGTGACGCTGTGACGTTGTTACGTGTTTCAGGTTACCTGCTGGTCGGCCTGGTGATGATGATGTGACTGTGTTATGTGACGCTGTGACGTTGTGACACTGTGACGTGACGTGTTCCAGGTTACCTGCTGGTCGGTCTGGTGATGATGATGTGGCTGCTGACGGTGTTCGCCGAGATCCCGCAGCTCAATTTCGGCATCTGGTTCCTACACCAGTCGGATGAGACGACCGCCGACCCGGAAAAGATGCGGCTGTCGGGCGCCTCGGCCGGGCCCAAGTACACGCAGCAGGTGAGATGGCAGTGGTTCGTCACTATAGGGTGGGGGGGGGGCAGGCTGATCGGTCTCACTCGCTGCCCCGATCCAGTTTTTTTCACTGCTGGTCTGCGGTCCTAGTGGACCCAGAATCTCAGCAAACGTAATAATGCAAGGGCGTACTTTGAGGTGCTCAGATCTATGAGGGGCTAACGTGTATACCGCTATAATGCGAGCGACTATTTTTGTTTTCTGAAAGGAATGACTGCAAAGATCGTGAAAATATCAGATTCAGCATACCGTAAAATGGGGTGTTAAGGGACAGTGGGGTGTTAAGGGACAGTTGCATGGGAAAAACTTTGAGTCATATTAACTTCCTAATTTGAGAAGGTTCAATAAAAACTTCAGTGTGGTAGTTGACACTGTTTTGCTCTTGACCATAGGACAAAATGGTATGGTTTTTCATGCAAGTGATTTGGTTCAAAAATGGATATGAAAATCATGCTACATTTTCACAAAATTGAAACATCTCCAAAACTCTGTGTGTACCACACACGTACCACATAAACTAGTGGGTGTACAGGGAAAATGAATGCATAGGTGTATTGTCACATGTATTGCACATGTTTCCTGAAAAACTTGTGCAAATCCACCCATTCATTCATCATCCTCTTCCTCTTTTCCGGATACATGCATATTTTGAGGTGGATGTGGGTTGCTAAGGGACAGGGAAGAAAAAATAAAAAATAATATCTAAATATATTTCATTAAGTTTTTTTCAGTAGGCATGGAAAACACCAAATTCCACATAAAATGCTGGCAAGTTCATGCTTTTATCTATAACACATCTTAAGTTATGTAACAAAATCTCAACCTCTTTTTACAATGATGGGTCAATGGAGACTGATGTAGGTAAATGTGATGTCATCATAAAAAGACTAAAACAAAGAGGGCAACATAATGACAAGTGTCTAGCTTCAACATGGGTTTTTATTGATGACAGAAAATT